TTCTTCCTGTTTACTGCATTTTTTTTCTTCAGAGGTAGCTTTCATAATTTATACTTGATTGCAATTAATTTAATTACATTAAATTAATTTGCCATTGCCAAAAACTCATCAAAGTTTGCACCTGTTTCAATTTAATAGGATTTTATGATCATTCAATCTATGAAAAGCTTCATAATCTTATCACCTTTCTAAAACACTTCAGGAATAATACAAGTATAGTTTGACAAATTTGAACAATCTAAATATACATTTTTTTAAAAATATCTGGTTGAAATTTAGCCCAGTATGTTGAGTTAAATTTTAATCATTACTAAGATTTCCAGTTGTGAGATTGTTGATGACTTTGACAAAAGAAACAACAAAAATAAAAAAAACAAAAAAAAAACAAATCAGAAATGTTCATATTTGTGTATTTTTAGAAAATTGTACAGGATTAGTTTCAAAGGTTTAAGAGCATGTTGTATTCATTCAGTTCAGTTGCAGTGTTTTAGGATCTCTGATTTGTTGGTTCATTAAAGATGTATGCTTATACTGTGTGTGTAAAACAGAACTACAGGAGATCAAAAAAGGTGTCCAAAATAAAGACTGACTTAAAAAAAAATAGGATTGAAATCAGAACTTAAATGTATCTCCAGCAGAAAGCATGCATTAATCTTTTCTCTTGTGATTATCAATATATATATATATATATATATATATATATATATATATATATATATATGAAAGAAAGTAATGAATAGTGGGTCAGATTGAGGAACTGGAGAGCTGAGCTCAAATTGCAGTCGAGTTCATTGCATTCATTTATGTGCTTAATGCCCTTGGGAAAGGTATGGATCCATCTTTCCTCCAGCTATGTGTAAATGGCAGGAGAGACTGGGCTCTAATAGCTGAAGTTGGCAACCACTCTAGGAGAACAAAAACTTAGAATTCAAAACCACCTGCTGCTTTATAGGTCTTGCCTCTTTAACTTTTGAGAGGAGGGACAGGGTAACCTCAACATCCCTGGTGCAAAAGGAACTGGAAAGCCAAGCACTGTTCTGTCTTGAATATCACCATGAACCACATTTGTGGAGTGGTGACCACAACGACACAAAATGCGCTAAGCAAATAAATAAATAAATGAATGGTGAGATATATATGATAAAAATATAGTTTTACGGTATGCTATGTTCATGGGTAAAAGTACTTAATATCAGAGATAGTATGTAAATATAAAAGTGGACACGGGGATTAACATCAAGTGGTGACAGTCTTTCATGTTTAGATGTAATCTTCAGGCTGTGTGTTGTGTTTTGGCTTGATTATTTATATATACTGGTCAATGATGCATTATGGGTAATGTCTATTGTATTACAAACAATTTAGAGCAGAAACTCTTTTTAAAATGTAAACATGCATACACCGCTGAGTGGGTGCTGAAGTTATTGGTTTGACCAAGAAGCCCTTCCAAATAATATTGTTTGTTTGGATTTTGGGAACTGGATCAGCACCCCCTCATATACCAGTGACCCAAATAGTTTATACAATTTTTGGTTTTTATTACATTTTATTTCTTTATTATTTTACTCATTTCATCCCCAGCAAGGTGATAATGCCACTAAGATGCAAGATCTTATTTGGAATAGAAGACAATGAGGAGACTTCAGTGAGGAGAAAGGACAATAAAAGAACAGATATCAGGAAGACAGAAGATTGTGATGGACGTTGTATTTAAATTTTTATTGTAGGTGGCAGGGAAGTAAGAAATTGGAAGAGAGTTCCAGAGGTGAGAAGTGTGAGAAAAGAAACTATTAGAATAGAACTTTGTTACAACTAGCTATTTTGATAGTGAAGTGATGAGGCCTAGTTGCTAATCTAGTGGTACTGCTTAAATTTATGCAGTTGCGGTACCAAGGAGGAAAATTCATTAGGATAATTGCCATAAAATATTTATAGAAAAGACAGAAATAACATAGGTCCAAGGATGATAGATCCCTGGCGGACCTCCACATAATTGTGAAATGATCTAGAAGCATGGGAGTTCAATACAACCTTCATTACATGATTTGTTCAGAATGATTTTATTTATGCAGCCAGAGACACTCAAAACTTTTGAGGTGATGGATTCTCTTTATTTGTTTAGTTTTATTTTTGTTTATTTTTATTCCCATTTATTTTTTTTTTTATTTCCATTTATTTATTTTTGTTTTTTATTCTTTATTTTAGTTTTATTTTTGGTTTTTATGTTGTTTTTTTTTGTTTGTTTTTTTTGTTTTTGTTTGTTTTTTTTGTTTGTTTTTTTTGTTTTTGTTTGTTTTTGTTTTTTTTTTGTTTTTGTTTGTTTTGTTTTTTTTTGTCTTATGATTTTTTTTTTTTTTTTTTTTTTTTTTAAGTTGTTTTTTGTTTTTTTTCTTATTTCTGCTTTTTATTTTTTATTTTTATAAAGAGTTTAAAAAACCCAGAACTGCAACCCATTTGAACACCACCAGTTCAAGGATCATTTCCTACCAGTGTGAACCAAAAGGTTGATGGTGAATGTAGAAGAGAAATTTAAAATTGGAAAAAACTAAAGAGTACAGAATTTGATGAAAGTAATGTTAGTAGTGCTTGATATTGATTCAACAGGTTTTTGTTCCTAAATTTATTAAAGATGTGGCTGATGAGCAATGATGATGAACTGAGAGCTGTGCTGAATGTGATACAAGCATGTGTCTTCCTTTAGGTGGGCCAGATTTCTGCATGGGGCCGACATTTGCATGGTGCACGTGTCTGTTTTTAGGTGGAGATCTGCATGGAGCACACGTCTGTCTTTAGACAGGTTAAATGTCTGCATGGAGCATGTCTTGACTTGTGGCTCCTGGTTAACCTATTTAACACCAGCTTCAATGCCAGGACCATACACAATCAACTCTCCCATCTTTCAGATTGTTTCCCTCACTCACAAGAGACTCTACACTTTTATCCATTATATTGACAGTACAGATAATTTTTATTTTAACATATCTTGTCTCTTTTGCTGTTCACATCTCTGACAATACTTTGGTAAGCATTTCTGGTACATGACATAGGTATTGAAGTTTTGTGGTCTATTGGCAAATAGGGATAAAATTGTTATTGAAATCATTGACCTTTTTTTTTTTTTTTTTTTTAATTTTAATCATTTTGTTCCAAGCAAGGCAGTAAAAGCTACCAAGGGTTAGCGATAATAAATTTTTTGCCTTTCTGCTATTTCTGCTAACCCTTGTTCCGCCATTCATTTACTCAAGCTCATTTCATTGTTTTCTTCTGTCCTGCTTGTTTTTAATCTGTCCTGTGAGCATTAGATTTTCCAATCCCTCTTTCCTCATTATATCCCCTAGAAATTAAATTCCTGAAGTTGAAGTACCAAAGAGGAGAGTTCCCCTTAAAAAGTTTCCATGAAAAATATTTGCAGAATAGGCACAGTTAGGTAATGTTATGGCAATAGGAAAGTGACTGAAGCTGAGATGCCAGAAAATATTTTCAAATCCTAACACTCTGCAATTCTTGGAATGCAGCTAATATCTTATAAGACACTGGAAATATTATATTAAGATTTATAGCATTCATTAATATAACAATAGCAATATTTATAATGGAACAATAAAGAATAAGATAATGAAAAAAAAAAAAGCATTTAACGGTTGTGCGAAGAATTGAAGAACTAACTTAGTGCATCTTGAAGATAATTAGTGCAATGAGATTTTACAATCTTTTGCTTTTGCCATCCACTGTTAAAACATTCCCTAGATATTTAAATTTTTGCACTTGTTTAATTTTGATACCTCCAATTTGTATGTTGGGCTGTTCCTTGCATTTTACCTTTTTAAAGTTGATGTTTAGTCCTTTCTTCTTGCTTTACTTTTCTACCTTGTGTAGGAGTTCCTGTAGTTACCTTTCTGTATCTACCATCAACCTTGTCATCTGTATGTATATATTATGATGCAAAGAATGTGTCTATCAATAATTGAATCCTTGTAGGATTTCTAATTCTCTCAGTATCACTTCATGGTAAACTTTGAATAAGTCTGGTGAGAAGACACATTCTTGTCTTATGTTCCTTTGTATTTTTATGTATCTAGCGAATTCATTTTTTTATCCTTGTGCAGGCAGTTGACTCGGAGTATAAATTCTGTATTATTCTAATATCCTTCTCAAATAAATTCAGTGCTTATAATATCAACAAATAAAGGCAAACGTGCAGTTTTAGCTGGTTAACTTGAAATACAGTGAGTATTCTAACTACTCAACTCTGTGAAAGAAACTTAATTGGAAATTAAAAAAAAAGAAATCTTATGGTAGCCACTGAAGAATTAGTTTTAAATAAAAATAATTTCGTCATTGCTAGCATTGAACAAAAAAAGTCTTATCTATCTATCTATCTATATATATATATATATATATATATATATATATATATATATATATATATATATATATATATATATATATTCTATGACTTCTGTTAGTTTGTCTGTCACACCCTCTAAACTAGCTGTAGATTGACCAATCAAAACCAGTTTTGGGGAGAAGTGCGAACAGGTAAGAGGGAACAAAGGTATATATGGGCATGTGGCTGAGTGGTTAGAACATTCGTATTCTAACCACAAGACCCCGTGTTTGAATCTCACCATGGTCATTCTGTCAGGAAGGTGACTTCCTGATGTTATCAGTCTGGAGAGACAATCTCAGCATGCAGCGCCCTTGGAAAGTGCCTGAAAACCATACCATGGGTTGACCCAAGCCTTGTGAGTGAAATTAGGTAGACAGTACCCTTTGTGAGCTGTCAATGGTTGTGTTAGCATGAAGTCATTGTGACCGAGAGTTGGCCTTGTTCAGAATGTTGATCATGCTAGATAAAATGCTCTCTCCTAGAAACTGTATCTAAAGTCTGCTTCGCATAGTTGCAGTATAAACCACAGGTGGGATCTATGGGTGCTGAACAAACACAAATGTGCTGGTGCAGGTGTCTGCAACAGGGATTCAAAAATACTATGACAGCTTATGGCCATATCATGTTGAAATGCCAGTTCTCATACAATCACCAAAGTTAAGCAATGTTGAGCCTGTTCAGTACCTAGATAGGTGATTACTTCAGAATACCAGATGCTGTAAGTTTGGATGTGTGAGTGATGTAATGGATAACAGCTTAAAATTGGAAATCAGAAAGTTAAGTTCCAATTCTTGTTGGGTTCATTATATTCACCTACATACAAATACCCTTGGGAATGGTATAAACCCACCTCTTCTCTCCACAGCAGTAGTAGTAGTAGTAGTAGTAGTAGGACTTGTATCAGTAATTTATCATCATCAAAATATTCTTACAATCTAAATATTTTCTTGCTTCACCTATAAAAAAAAAAAAAGAAAATATAATCAATCTACACCTACTTTGATATTTTTTCTGTCTTATGAACTCTTTCTTTATTATTTAAAGCTGAAACATATATTGAATTGTAAGGATTTTTTTTTTATTTAGATAAAACTGATTTTTCCAGATAAGATATAACAAAAATTTATTTGGAAGGAGGAGAGGGATTTATACCTATCCTAAGGGTATTTATGTAGAAGTGAATGCAACAAATTCTACTGAAATTCACTCTACCCTCTGAATTTTTATTCCAAACCACTATTCATTACACCACCCGCACATCATTCTACAATACAAACAACAATACCATTGCCATTTCAGTAATGGTATCCAGAAGTGAACCAAATAACCCAAGTAACTTTTATTCAGCATCAGAACCTCACAGGTTTTGTGAACAGACATTGTTTGTAAAGTATTGCGTCTGCTTAACTGAATAAGTTTGTGTGTGTTCAGAATTTCTATTTGCTTGGGCTGAGAACTTATTAGCACCCCCTCCTCATGTGTATCACATACACACATGCACACACATCCATGCTTGTACACACTTGTATTAACAGAAAACAAAAGCTCAAGTTGGCTCTGAGGATTCTTTTGAGCCTCTTTATAAACCCAACTTGAAATAAATGAATATTCGTAAACTTTGTGAATCAACATTTCACACTAATCAACAACAAAGGCTTCAATTGCAATTGGTTCATTTCCCTTAAAAATAAGAACTAACAAAAGAACTCGCATTGATGGAGCGGGAAAAAATCCTTTGTGCTGCACTGGAGAGTGATGAATATTACGATTTCTTTACCATTACAATCATTAAGTATTATTTGCCTTGCATTGTGAACCCTGATTGTTGTTCATTGTACAGCTATTCACATTAGCGTACGTGCGGGGATATTAACCTGTATTTTCGCCTGATTTAATTTGGTCTGGCTTTTATTGATTTGCCATATTTACCATGCTCGGTCTGTTTAATATCAGAGAGGCTTTTCAATACAATTAGGTTTGTTTAATGAACCCTATGCACATTTTGACATTCACCTCAGGTCAAAGATTGTAGAGGATTTTTTTTTTTTTAATACTTTCTTTTCCTTGTGTACTTGTGTGCAATAGTTTGGTGTGTGTGCTTATTTTTTGCTCAATCTAATGCTCCCATAGTGAACAAGTGGAATAATCAGATGATAAATTAAGATCTGGAAAGTCAGTTATACAGTACATCGTTGATGGGATTTTAAATTCATTGATACAAAGAAAACAGTACTGAATGGCTACATAATATCTGTCCTCCTATATGTCGGTGAAGGCCGGACAGTCTCCTCAAAGATGAAGAGATTGAAGTAACAGAAATGTAGTTCTACAGAAAGATGCTGAGGATAACATGAACTGAACAAGTGAGCAATAATGAGATTTTGGAGGAAATGGAAACAAAAGGAAACTTATACTTAACATCAGGAAGAGGCAGTTGAAATTTCTGGGGCACATAATGAGGAAGGAGGGCTTGGAAGACCTGATACTCACAGGACAGATTGAGAGGAAATCAATATGTAAAATACTTGATAAGCTTAAGTAAATGGATGGTAGAACAGAGTTTTGGAGAAATAACAAAAAGACAAAACTTAAGAGCTACAAGGGACAGGAAGATGTGGAGGGCCATGATCGCCTGAAGGGACACTGGACATAAAAGATGTGTTTTTAGCTGTCGTGTCCCTTCAGGGTTCGGGCGGTTATGGCCCTCCAAAACTTCCAATCCTTCATAGCTCTAAGCGGTGTTTGTCTTTTTACTATCTACCTTAGTCTTTGTTCTGTCATTGATGTAAACTTGTTAGGTAAGTTACTTGCTGTTTCCTGCTTCCCATCATTATATCCTGTGAGTGTCAAATTCTCCAAGTGTTTTTTCTCATTGTGTCCATGATTGAAATAGAGGCTTTAAAATGTATTCATAATGTGTAGTAGTTTGATTTGAGATTGGATCCTGGTTAGAATGTGTTTTTGTTTTTTTAATCATTTAAAGTAAATCAATGAAACCACTAAGACAAAGGTCATATTCTGAGTGTGAAAGAATGAGAAAAAGAAGAAAACATTAAAGAGAGATGACGGCAAAAGAACAAGAATTAAGATAAAAGATAATGACTGACATTGTATTTAAATTTTTGAAAATCAAAGTTGATTGGAAAGCAAGTAGCCAGAAGAGCGTTCCACAAGTGAGAAGTGCATAAAAAGATGTTGGCACAGAACTCCAGTTAAATTTAGCAATTTCAATTGTAAAATGAGACCTAACTGACAATCTAGCACTGTGCTTAAATTTGTAATGTTGTAGATATCAAAGATGAAAGCTTATCAGAACAATTACCATGAAAATATTTGTAGGAAAGGCACAGGGAAGCTACATTACAGCAGTGAGAAAGTGACTGAAGCCAAGATGCCATGACAAGACCAATAACATTACCAGTTCTTATTTGGATTTTATCAAGAATCTCTAAATACATAATAGATACACCTGACCAGATTTGATAGAAATATTCAATACATGGATGGATGAATGGTAGACTTAGAAATAAGTAAGATAGATTGTCTAGCACAACACAGTGAACCATATTCCTTATCAGCAGAGCTAGCAATTGATTCAAGATAACATTTATGTTTCATGCCTCAGAAAGAGGAATGAGTTACTTTCCGAGAGGTCAGCATCAGCCATGTTGATGGGAGGGGGAGCAAAATTGTTCTCTAAGACGATTAAAGGAGTGCAGTTATTTCTTTGAAATTTTGAATTGGTTATGTAATGTGGTTTTGTGTAAATCCTTGTTTACTTTTGTAAGTATTTACTAAGCTGAGTCTGGCATAAGAAAAAAAAAAATTGGGTACCCAGTTAGAATCATAGACTACAGAATTCTGATCAACTGCTCAATGGGGATGTATGTATTGTTATTTAATTAGCTTAGTGCGATCTGGCAGAAAACTAGAGCAGTGGAGCACTTAGTAAGGATCTTAGTAACAGTCTATAAGATTAGCTTGTTAACCACTGATTTTCAGCAAGTTCAGTATAGAACAAAGATACAAGTGTAGGGCATCTAATGATGTGTGAGATGTCATTGCTATTGGCTTCTCCATTTAATTAATTTATAAAGTTCATGATTTAATTTTTATGAGTAATTATTGAAATGCAACTTTAAAAAAGTGTCTGTAACCTGTAATATTTTGCTTTGACATTGGACCATAGTCAGAATGGTAAATAAATTGAGAGAGATAGATTTTCTTTGACATGGACAGCAAAATGAGAACAATTACCCCCACTCTCTCTCTCTCATATATATATATATATATATATATATATATATATATATATATATATATATATATTGAAGATTACCTAGATCAACACACAACTGAACAGCCAAAATGTTGATAACAACAAAGATGAGGACATTAGTCTGACTGTAAATGATAGCTTATTCTATGATTTCAGACAGGTGTAAATTGAAGTATCAAATTTATACTGTTTTTTTTTTACATGTGGTGGCACTTGGTGAGGAACAAACTCAATACAGTACTAATTTTGCCATAAAGATGAGCTTGTTAAACAAGAGGTGATTACAAGATGCCTAATTGCTCATTTTTAGAATTTGTAATTTAGTATGTGTACAATAACACACACACTAGATATATATATTTATTTATTTATTTTGTTCATAAACTATTTTGAAAAGTTCCACAGCTGTGGAAAAGCTGTAAGTGGAATAAATATCAAAGCAACTTAATTATCTTAAAAAGCACATCTGGTTAAAAGAAATTGTTTTTTGTCCATGACTGGATGGACCCCTGGAAATTTTACAGTCCATTCTTGCAGCGCAAAAAGAGAAGAAAAAGTAATTAGCATATTATCATAATACGGTAATGAAGGTAATTTGATTAACACTTAGACATCTACGTAGTAATTTAGAAACACCTGAAAAATAAAAATAAAATTTTCAATTTTCAAGTATTTAAGACAATTTTTTTGTAAAGGAAAAAAAGAACAAAAAAAGGTCCATTTATTCCTTCGAGTACTATTTGACTCAAATAATTAACCTTTCATATTTTCCATTTTCATGGTTTTAGTAATAACCAAAGGAGAAAAAAAAGAAAAAGTTCAACTTGTCTCGTGCTCTTCTATTGTGACTTATTCTTGTTCTTTTCACTCCCAGTAACCCCTTGCATCATAGTGGCATTATTGCCTTGCTTGGTGTGAAATGAGTATGTTTTGTTTGTAGAAATATCACATGTCTACATACACACTAAAAATTTGATTGTTTGTTACAGGGCTGATGTGCACCCCAGCCTCCCCTTCCCCTGAACCACCTGGCCAGGGAGTGGAGAGCTAATTGTGGGCTCCAGGCAATGCTTTGTGACCCTCATTATCTTATCAACATTTTCTTTTCTCTACCTATATTTATATATGTTACAATTTAAACTAAGCATAACTATTAAAGGTTGAAAAGTTTTCAAGGATTTTGGTGTCATACTGTATTTTTTTTTTTTTATTTATTTTACATCAAAATCCGTGAATTCTTTTGTTCATGCTAAATCTTGAGAAAAAAAAAACACTGTATAAAATTTACTATTTTTTTTTTTTTTATACATAATGTCAAATATGTTAAAATTCTTCAATTTTTTAACAATATCTCTAATGTAAAAAATTGCCACAAAACATTGTTGATTTATTTTATTTAAGACTAGCAGTAGAGTCCTGCGTTGTCCGGGGATGTAACAGTAA